AGAAAATAGGTACCATAATAGAGGGACTCATTATAGGTTCATTATAGGTTTAAAGAGAAATCTGGCACTAGGGAAATGTCCAGAGATCCACAAGGAGGACCCCAACTAACAATCTAAGCAATATTCAGAGGCTATCTTAAATGCCCTTCCCTGATAATGAGATTGATGACTACCTTATATGCCATCCTAGAGCCTTTATCCAGTAACTGATGGAATCCGAAGCAGACACCCACAGTTAAACACTGAGCTGAACTGTGGAATCCAGTTGCAGAGAGGGAAGAGTGATGAGCAAAGGAATCAAGACCAGGCTGGAGAAACCCACAGAAAAAGCTTACCTGAACAAGGGGAAGCTCATGGACCCCAGACTGATAGCTGGGAAACCAGCAAAGGAATGTTCCAGACCCCCTGAATGTGGATGCTAGTTTGGAGGTCTGGTTAATCTATTGGGCCTCTGGTAGTGGATCAGCATTTATCCCTAGTACATGAATGGACTTTTGGAGTCCACTCCAAATAAAGGGATACTCTCTCAGCCTAGACACCCTGGGGAGGGTCTTAGCCCTGCTCCAAATGATATGACAGACTTTGAAGATTCCCCCATGGAATGCCTCACCCTCCCTGGGGAGCAGAAAGGGGATGGGATAGGGGGATCAGTGGAGGTCAGGGGAGGAGGGGAGGGAGAGGAAACTGGGATTGACATTTAAACAAGCTTGTTTCTAATTTAAATAAAGTAAAATACTTTAACCATTTTATTCATAAAAAATATTGTACTTTATTATAGCATACCTAGCAAACAAGTACATGTATTATCTATAATTGTTTTATTGTAATATAAGCATGAAATGTCATTTACAATAAAATATACACTATATATGAAAATTCCAAAGTACAGCTATATTTAGTATCCTGCATGCAACAGCTATAAACCATGCTTGAGTGACAGTCTGACTACAGCCTGGCATGTTGGACTGTATTGGCAGGACAAACACAAAACCTTGAGCAGTATTAATCCTGGCACATGATTTTCCTAAAAGAGTGAACAACTCTTGGCAAAGTCCCAAACCAAACATAGTTACAAAGTAATTACATTCCTGGAAATTCAAAAGTGTGTTCCGTTTATTTGTAAAACTGGGCTGTGTTCTAGGCAGAGACCATTGTACATGGGCTTTTCACCTAACTGATGTCTTGTGGAACATTTGGAGGTCCCAGACAGTGCTCATCTTCCTGTAATTCTGCACAATGTAAAGCCAAAGACAGGTTGTTCTGTTGGTATTGTTACTAATGTTTGATACAGTATGCTAGCCAGTGTTTCTCATTCTGTGGGTCACAATCCACAGGGGCCACCTAAGACCATCAGAAAATACAGATGTTTACATTATGATTAATAACAGTAGCAAAATTACAGTTATAAAGTAGCAACAAAAATAATTTTATGGTTGGAGGTCACCACAACATGAGGAACTATATTAAAGAGTTGCAGCATTATGAAAGTTGAGAACCACTGTGTCAGGCAAACATTCCACCATTGATTTATATCCCAGGCCTTAAAAACATATTGTTTGTTTGTTTACCTATTTATTTATTGTGTGCATATATGATAGGGGTGGTGGTGGGTGTGCCAGGGTGCATGTACAGAGGTCATAGGACAAATTTGTAGAACCAGTTTTCTTCTTCCACACCTTTAAAAGGGCTCTGGGCATTGAATTTAGGTCATTAGGCTTGGACAGCAATACTTTTACCTGCTGATTTGTCTTCCAACCCTTCTCCCAACTTTAATAAAAATAAAAATAATAAAAACTTTTTATTTTGAGACAGAGTCTTGATAAATTCCTCAAACTAGTCATGAGCTCTTAGTCTTTCTGCCTTAGACCCCAGCATAGCTGGGATTATACCAGGCCAAGTTGGCATTTTCTTTTGAAAATATTCTTTATTGTTCAATATGATTTATTGTTAGTTACTTGTATGTTGCTGTGACAAAACATCATTACCAAGGCAACTTATAAAAGAAAGAATTTATGGGCTGGAGAGATAGTTCAATGGTTAAGAACACCAGCTGCTCTTCCAGGGGACCTGAGTACAATTCCCAGCAACCACATGGTGGCTCACAACCATCTGTCATGAAATCTGGTGCCCTCTTCTGGCCTGCATGTGTGCAGGCAGGCAGAACACTGTATACATAATCAATAAATAAATCTATAGAAAAAAGAAAGAAAGCATTTATTTGGGCTTATGGTTTCTGAGGGTAGAGTCCATGATGCCCAAGACTTAATGAGAGGCATTTCATTCAAGTCACATCATCATCATCATCATCATCAATGTTGGTGATGTTACAGAATCTAGACAATTGTTCTACTACCAACTATATCCATGGCCTTCTGTATTTTGAGGCCAGGTCTCAAGCCTATGTATCTTAGTCTGGTCCTGAAATCATGAGCTGTAGTGCTATGAGTACAGACTTATGCCACCCTATTCAGCTGGCTGTCCATTTTCTAAGCTAGTTCAGAGGTGTGGTCTTGACACTGTCACTGAATCCTGTGTGTTAAAAGGTGTCTCCTTCAGTTTGAACTTGGGCTGGTCCCTGCTGGGTGGAGTCTGGCAAGCGTGTATTGTGTATTTTGTCTGTGTCTGTGGGATCCTGTGATGCTCGTGTCAACTCCAGAGAATCTCCTGACCAATTCTCCCAGTCTTTCTTCTGCTTCTGTACTAAGTGATTGGATATTCATTGTCAGAGAGATTCTACCAGAACACTGTGTCATCTAAGATGGAGCCCTAGCAGTACCCTCTCTCCTTATTCCATCCTGCCTGCCTCCAAGCTCTATCCCCGCAGTGCTCATTCTCCATCTTCCCCATGCTTATCAAGCACCCACGTGTCAACTCGTGTGGTCTGACTTTCCCTCTAGCAAAGGAGCATGCCCATTGATTTAGGAGCCTCATTATTTCAACACTTCCTCCTCTGGCTTTCCCCCTGACAAATGCCTGTGTGAGGCAGAAAACAGTTTGCTGTTACCAGTCATTCACCAATGACACATTCAGAGAGTCCTTACTAATTGACTTTGTTGTGTGAACATCATAGAGTATATTTATACAAACTTAAGATTTCTAGGATGTCTCTAGGCAATTAGATTGCATGGGACTTCCTGTACCCCTTATATATGTGGTCCATCATTCATCAAAATGTTTTTTCATGGTGCCTGTCTATAGTAGAAACTAACTTGGGGCTATGGATGCAACTCAGTTGCTGGAGTGCTTGCCCAGCTTTCAGGAGACTATATTCAATCTCCAGCATGAGATGCATGGAACACAGCAGTGCATATCTATAGTCCCAGGAATATCAAAAGGTCAAAGTTACCCCTGATGACATAGCAAGTCAAATCCCACTGAGACCAGTGTCAGGAATAAAGTAAAATAACTTGAAGGCACATTCACCAGAAAGGGGCATTTGCTCTTGGGTAACAGGAGTCTCAAGGAACTTAAGAATAGGGAAAGAATTGACATGGCACAGGAAAGAACTCAAACAAAACATCACAAAGCCACCAACACTTGTCAAACCCTTGTTTGTTACTCCCCTCTGGCTCTTTTTCCTCTGTTACGTTTACTGCTTCTATTTTGCCTTCTTGTGCACGTGATGGGATTGCAATTCTATGAGAGAAACACACCCCTGTTCTAACTAAATAGGTTCCAATCTCTGGCTGAGTCTGTAGCCTGCTAGTGCTAGGGACCAGATTTAATTCAGAGAGAGAGAGAGAGTGTGTGTGTGTGTTCAGGCATCAGGCAGAGGGAACAATCCCTAGAGTTCCTACAGATCTGGAGATAGTGGGGGTGCTCACCAGTGGTGAGCTTCGCAATTTACAAGGTGTGGGGTAGAATTTTCAGAAGTTATTAGACTCAGTAGAGAAAAGCTTAGTTCTCAAGGCCATGCTGGCCCTGCCTATCAAAGCTTGAAAACAAAATGGAAAGAATCAAACTGTCTCCAAGTTACTACATTCCAGGGCAGAGCTCAGGAATATTTATGAGAACACAAAAATATCCAGTACTCAAGTTCATGATGTCTGTCTTCCAATCAAGCTCCTGGCCAAAAAGAGGATGGAGAAAATGACAAGGAGCAATATTCTGTCCTGGAAATTCTGAGTGCTAGTCTCATATTAAGGCTATTGTTATTTTTGTCCTTATACCCCTCAGTATTGTTTGACTTGCTATAACAAGCATACATCACTACTATTTTTTCAAAAGATTGAATAAACCACGAAGCAAAATGAGACTCATAGGCCAAAGCGCTTCTGTACTTCAGGAGTGATTGAAATCTCTTTCCTGATTCCTTCCCATTCTGTCTCACTTTCTAGAAAGTTCTCCCTTTCTTTTCGGCCATCTCTTGCCTTTCCTCCCTTTTCCATGTAGTTTAGGTCAATGTGGTAGTACTGGTGTATGTTTTTAAAAACCCGGGACTGATTCAGACCCCCTGAATATGGTATCAGTGAGGAGGTCTAGGCAATCTCTGGGGCCTTGGGTAGTAGATCAGTATTTACCATGGCATGTGAATGATCTTTGGGAGCCCATCACATATGGAGGGATGCTCTCTCAGCCTGGACACGTGGGGAAGGGCCTAGGCCCTGCCCTGGATGAAATGACAGACTAAGGACATACCCATGGAGGACCTCACCCTCCCTGGGGAATGATATGGAGATTGGGTGGGGAGCTGGGGGGCTGGTGGAGGGACAAGGGAAGAGGGGAGGGAGAAGGAGCTGGGATTGACATGTGAAGCAACCTTGTTTCTAATTTAAATAAAAAATTATATTAAAAAAAACCCTACAGTTAGTTACTCGGCTTTGAACACCCCATGCCCTCACTAAAGCTAGTCTAAAGCCTTTTTATTCAGCCTGCTCCGGGGCCTGGATCAGTTGGTAAGTGCCGGTAAAGCCTCTGCGAGCCAGGCTCTATTGCCATGTCTCTGGGCAAACAAAGATGACACTTTGGCTGCACTTGTGTAGACAGACTGCACCCAAGTTCACCTCTGCTGTTCCCGCTAAAGAGATCCTTCTCTTGTGGAGTGAAGACTACTACAGGCTATAAATGAAATGAATGAAAGTGGAGGGGAGTCCGCAGAAAACAGTCGGAGGGAGAAGCAGAGGGCCGGGCCACACAGAGAAAGGGACCACTCAGCGACGAGACCCAGCTGTGAGAGCAGAGCGCTCCAGCACGGCCGTGGACAGTGGGAGGAGAGCCTAGGGGCGCGGAGGCTGAGTGCCTGCACTCGGACCCCAGATCACGGGAGTCTCCCGAGCTTGGGACGCACGGTCCGAGGGCACATCGCACGCACCTCGGTGTCCTGCTCACGGCCACCAGCGATGAGTGAGAGCAGCCGCCTGTGCTCGGGCTACTACAGCCTCAACCGCAGCTTCGTGGAGCCCTTCCAGTGCCCGCGGCGCGGCGATGGGGCCGCGCTGCTCTACTGCTGCGGCTTCGCAGACCTCAAGTACTGCTGCAGCGAGCCGGGCAGCTACTTCCCCTACAAGCACAGCTACATGTGGAGCCTCAGGTGGGCAGGGCAGGGCAGGGCAGGGCAGGGCAGGGCAGGGCAGGGCAGGGCAGGGCAGGGCAGGGCAGGGCAGGGCAGGGCAGGATGGGGCAGGACAGGGCGACCCCTCCCGGACCTGGGAAAGTGGCCAGTGGAAGACACAAAACCGGAATCAGGGAGGTCTCCCAGTGCCCGCTGTGTTCAGGTCCTTGTGCCAAGGCGCCAGGCTTCTGAACAGCAACTCTGCAGGGCACCCTGGAGACCAGTGGGCACCATGTGCATCGCAGCCTGCCTCGGGGACCACTGCTGGCTGACGAGCTGGAGGCTCTACTAACAAGACTGGAGGTTTTAATTCCTTTTTAGGTGTTTGGCGTTTTTTGTTTGTTTGTACATTTGAACAGAAAGGGGGCTTCTTTCCAACACGAGTTAAGGTAGTAAGGATCATTAGAGTACTTAAGTGTCACTGGGCAGCAGGAGCCCTTAAAGTGTGTGTGTGTGTGTGTGTGTGTGTGTGTGTGTGTGTGTGTGTGTGTTTGCGCAGGTGCTTGTGTATAACTGGGCTTTACAACACACTCTTCTTGGAGGTTCGAAACACTGACACTGCCCAACCAGGCTGAAGATGGAAGAAAGCTTGAGTTACTCTGCTTATGCACACAGCACGACCTTTCTGGACACCCTTCCCTTACACTCTCACGATTTGACCATTGCTAGACGTCAAAGCCACATCTTTCTTGTTCCTTTTTCCTACAGTGGGGTTTTCCCTGTGTCTATTAGTCCTTATGCAGGTGTTTTCATGAAGAAATGCTCCCCTTAAAAACAGCAGACTTTGAAACTTTAAACTTGATTCTTTTCTTTTGTCTACAGAATGAGTGGAAGCCTGAGATTATAGGAAAGAACTTGCACTACCACCACCACAAATTGTGTGTGTGTGTGTGAGAGAGAGAAAGAGAGAGAGAGGGAGGGAGGGAGAGAGGGAGGAGGGAGGGAGGGAAGGAGGAAGAGGGAGAGAGAGAGGGAGACAGAAAGAGAACTAGCTAGTGGGAGTACAATAGAGTACAATACTATTGCTCCACTCTCTCATCATGATCCAGAACTTGGCACACGTGCCAGCCAGATCAACAGCAAAAGTATTTCTCGAGGCAATAAAACAAGTACTATTTTTCTGTATTGCCAACCTGAATAAACTCTCAAGAGAACTGCCTTCCCACTGGGAAGCCAATTGACCAAGTTGTTCTTGAGTTGGACAAACTTGGCAGAAATGATGCCAATTTATTCTCTATATTTGGGAGAAAGAAAGTGAGGTACTGCCCTGTCGTTTTGGGCTTTTAGAGACTAGCTCGGTAGGCCATCTGTGAGTGTTTGAATCTCAGGTGCACCTCCAACAGAGAGTGGCAGTGCCCAAGTCAAACTCAATTGGAAATGGTGCCCAGGGTCTTCCAATCCCCCGTGGTGGCAAAAAGAAGAGGCCATAAACCCTTCCTAAGGTTTGAGAGAGCACAAAGGAGGGAACAGCCTGCTGGTGTCTACCTTCATCAGGAAAAAATGGGCAGCGAGCTCAGTGTCAGGGAAAGAGAAAAACCATGCTAACTAAGGGCATCAGTTGGTAACTTTGAAGGGGTTCCTGTGAATTACTGAGCTCTGAAAACACTGTGGGGCGGTAAATTCATTAGAGCTTCATTTCTCTTCTATTCTTTGCTCTTCGCTGCTAATTTAAAATGTTCCAACTGCGAAAAATATTACAGAAGTCACTAGCTTTGGAATTGAGATTCCACAGCAACCAGCGAAAGACAGCCATAGCTACTTTGAAGCGAGCGAAGGTGCTAAGGAGGAGGATGGTAGCAATGCTATGATAGCAGCTTCAGACACTTTCCGGTGCTGGAAAAGCAACTGTGGTGGGACACCAGGAGGAAGGGTGATTCTCCCTTCCCTGTGTCAGTCCCTTTCTGTTCTTCCCTCCTCTTTTAAAGCACTAAATTCAAAGGGTCTCCTTTAGTAACCTTTTCCAGGACTTAAGTAAGAAAAGAAGGCTTCTTTGGCAGGGCCATTCATGGAGGGATGCTGAATAAGCATTTGTAAAAATGACCACTTTAGGAGACTCCTGGATCCCCACCTTTACATGGAAATCTGTAGGCACATAAGGAACCATGACTCTGAAACAATGTCAGCATGCTGTTTGGGTTTCCTCCAAATTGTGTAGTCTTTTTAAAACCCTGCACACTGAACACTCATGATGTATATGCTGAATTTCATTAGACTGACAAATTTTAATTTACAAAATAGCTTTTTTTTACTTTGAAAATTCTTTTCAACAACTGGGTTCTCATTTCAAGAGTCTGTCCAGATGCCCTACCTATCTGATCTGTGCACAAAGTAATTCTAATTCTAATACTAATAACAGATTCCATTCTTGTGTGTCTGTGTATAGGCAAGTAAACCAAAACCTCCCTGGCACAGTTTGCAGAAGACAAGGTACAAGGGTTTCTTTCCCAATCCAACTAGAAGAAAGGGCAAACAGTATGGCAACCTCCAAGTGCAAATACATAGCTCTGTTTGGACTTTGACATAAAATTACCTAGTCATCACTATATGCAGGGCTGGTTGAAACAAGCTCAATGTTAATAAACCAAGTACAAGAATTTGGACCTTTGACTCAATGTTGCCTATAGTTCAGGAGGACACAATGTCTTTTGTGCAAGGGTGTTTTATCTCCTCAAACAAGGAAGAGTGGAATAAACAGCCTGTCACCTTCAATACTGTTCTTTCTCTCAAAGCAGTGATGCTCCTGGTGTTCCTGATCTAATTTTCCCTTTCCTTTCTTTTGGTAAAAGTCAAGCTTGCCAGGGGCCTAATCCCCGAGAGAAAGCAGGAGCCAGAAGACAAGCCAAGAAGATAATGAAGACTAAGATTATTATCTTTCAGTGATGTGCATTGCAAATTGCTACATGCAGATCAATCATGAGCTAATTAGTGTTTACTCTCATCTGTTGAATATTTTCTACAAGCTAAACATACATGAATACTTATAGTATTCACAACACCATGGGAAAACCGACTGAAGTCAGCTCTTGAATAGCCTAACATCTAATTGCGGCTGTTTCTCCATGACTCAAGAGACACAAGTCTGCATACAGCTCAGTATGACACTGACTGCCACGGACCACCCCAGCTGTGTATGGGGGTCCCTGGGATGAGGGTTCTCAAAGACTAGGTGGGTAAGGATTCAGCGGTGACAAACAGAAACAAACACAGAGGCAGTTTGAATCTGAGTGTATTTTGCAGTTCTCAAGCAGGGCTTTTTATAATGAAAACAAATAGCATCTCAGGGGTTGTGTTCAGTGAAGCAATACCCAAATAACATCATCGTTACCAGGCACAAACACACAACTTATCCAACAATAGATCAGAAAATCATTCAGGGCTAACCGCAGCTATTTCTAAGATCAGGTTAATAAATTTTTATAGTCAGTTATTGTTTCATATCTGTTACCTAGTTCACAATTATTTGATATCTGTTACCTGGTTTTTGTGAGTCTTTGAAATATTCTACTTTGACTTTTTCTTATTAAAAAGCTTTATTTACCAAACATTAAAACCACTCTCGATTACACATGTACAGCCATGTGAAATTTTATTGTTGGGAAAGTTTTTATCAATACTATCACTATTAACTTATGTGAATGATTCGAAAAGCACTGGTTTTCCTGGAGACAAGGTCATGGTAGTGACCATGTCTCAGAGGACCGTTTCTCATTTATATTTTTTGTTTAAAATGTCAGCATAGGCTTTCAGGAACATTTCGTTAATATCAGAAAAGAATAGAACAGAGATGGCCATGAGAACTACGGCTCAATTTTTATTTCCTCTGGCCAAGAGTTCCTCAGCTGTTTCCAGGAGACCTCCTTCTTTTGAAGTTACTGCCTCAGTCTGTGGAAGTTATCACACAGAATCTACTGGATTTGGTGTGGTAATTGACTTTTTAAATCCCCTCTTTTTTTAACCGTAACAAGTGCACAGGCTTTATGAAAACTGCTGTTTCAGTGTCTAGCATATGTGTAACCACATAAAAAAGTTACTGCAATTGTGGTGCGGGGAAAATGACAGGAAAATCTCAGGCTTTGAAAGTGAATTTCATATACACCCTGTAAACAGCTTTATTTTAGCTAAACCCTCTTCTCTTTTGCAGAGGTTGTGGTTTTGTACACTAGCACATGGTGTCTTTCATATACATCTCTAAGAGAAAAGTTTTCTATCACTGATAAATATGTTTCCTGACTCATACTGAAGCAAGTATTTTCCTGTTTATCTTTCCTTTGTGAAACTGATCTTTCTAAGGTGTGGTATTAATTTGATTAGCTTGATTTATTGGAGTGGGATATTTATGACGTTCCTAGAGAATTGTCTGACCGCTGACCTCTCTCACAGATGCCATACTGACCGTAACATAACAAATTTTAAAAGTCCTTAAATACCATAGACAGGATATGACAAGAATTCATTGTGAAAGTTTCCATCGGTTACTCCTCGTAGTAAAGCAGAATTTGGTTATGAATGGATGAGAGCAAGAATGAGCGGTAAAATCTTGGGTCTGGCTTGTGTGCATAGATGTTTGAATGGCATGACTCTCTCCTGTTTCCTCAGCATTGGTGCTCTGATTGGATTGGGAATTGCTGCCCTGGTTTTACTTGCCTTTGTCATCAGCGTCTGTGTCCTTTGCTACTTATTTCTGTACACAAAGCCTCAAAGATTGGACAATGGCCTTAAACTTCAGCACCTGGAGGTATCTTCTACCCTAGAAGGTAACCCGAATCCATTCTTTGTAATCAATTACTTGTGCTGTGTCTTAGCTGGGTGACAGAGCACACTGTTAAGAATGCATGCTCTTTATTTTTTTCTTCAGGGACATAATTTTGCTCTCTTTTATTTACTTAAATAAGGAATTTGAACAAGAAATTACAAGATTAAGAAATGTGAGTATTTCCATGGCTGTTACCACACACTGGGAAACCTTCGATGTTACCTGACCTTCTCCAAATTAACCACTCTCAGCACCAGAATGCATGCTCTTTAAAGATTCTATTTACATCCGGGTGTTAGTGCATGCCTTTAGTCCCAGCACTCGGGAGGCAAGCAGGCGGATGTCTGTAAGTTTGAGCCTGGTCTACAGACTGAGTGCCAGAATAGGCTCCAAAGCTACACAGAGAACCCCTGTCTAGAACCCCCCCCCAAATAAGATTCTGTGTCCTTGCAAGAGTTCACGATGAATCAGCTTTAAGTTATGGGATACTTTAGGGAAATTGTGGTCAAGACAAACTAGCAGACTATAAATGCTTATGCCCTCATGGAAAGCAAGTCAATAGGCCAGAACTTTCACTTTGATATATTTAATTCCTTTTTAGTTATCAATAGCTATCCTCCTGAAACAATTACATTTTGGTTTTCTGGCAGAACCAAGGATGTCAAGTACATAAGACAATAAAATGCCCCTGTAGGACACTCTTCGTAGTGAGCTTTATATTGGTCAGTCAGTGGTCAGACTGGCACCTGGCGTGAGGAATCAAGGGGGTACCTGAGACAATTTAGACGTTTCCAAAAAAAAAAAACCAAAAAAAACAAAAAACAAATAGAATGTAGAATATTCTCTTTTAAAAAGAGAAAGCATTTAATTTGGGCCTCATGGTTTCAGAGGGTTAGAGTCCATGGCCACCATGCAAGGGGCATGGCAGTAGGCAGGCAGGAAGTGGGCAGTGGCTGGGAGCTCACATCCCATTCATGAGCAGGAGGCAGAGAGACACATAGAACATTCTTTGTTGTTGAATAGCCAACAAACTATTTATACTGGTGTAGGTATATGTGTACAATGTAACTTTAAAGTAGAAAGAAACTTTTATGTATAAATTACAAATTCTGTGTCTTCTTATTGTTTCAGTTATAAAATAGTATATAGATGTCAGTTGTTATCATTACGAAACTATCAAAATATTGTGAAAACTGGTTTCTATTAGTGTATTAGGAAACACCAATCATGAAATTTGGCATGTGTGTATACAGAATATAATTTAAAGACCATGTAGGTGACAATACATAAATTTAGGATCTGTGTTGACATACTTAGAATGGCATATGAGTGTTTATTGCTTCCATTTAAAAACAAAAGGAAAATCTTTCTCAAGACATGAAGGAATTCATAGGCTGTATTTTAGCTGAATGATGAGATCTGTGATGTTTACGCAGGCCTACCTTGTGACCTTATCCAATATATCACCATCACCGTGTGCCTGCATTAGCTATAGTCTTCTCTGGGGAGAAGACTCTCTCCAGCCCCTCTTGTTCTCTCATCACAGTACAGCAGGATAGATTCCTCTGGAATTCTCTTCCCAAAATGCTGATAACGAGGGGCCAAACTGACAGACTTGGAGCTGAGTTTAATCCAAGTGACTTTGACCCAGTTTCTCCACGAGCACAACCATGCGATTGATTGGCGGTTATCACATCATCAAACTGTAAAAGTAATTATCATCTCATTTGCTTAAAAGATTGAAAATCATGGCTCTAAATCTTTTCTGTACCCAAGAATCACCTGCACGGGGGTGAGGGGGCATCTTAAAAACACAGCTTCTCAGCCCCAGCTTTTCAAACGAACACCTCTTCTTCCCACTCTTGCTCGTCCTCCTACTTTCCATAAAGCAGTCACGGTGAGACTGTTAAAATCTAAGTCATAGGAGCTGGAGAGAGATGGCTCAGTGGTTTAAGGCACTGACTGTTCTTCCAGAGAACCTGGGTTCAGTTCCCAGCACCAACATGGCAGCTCATGACAGACTGTAACTCCAGCTCTACAGGATCTGATACCCTCATACAGACATACATGCAGGCAAAACACCAATGCAAATGAAATAAAAAGTAAGTAAATAGTCTTTTTTTTAAAAAAGCTCTGAGTCCAAGTAGGCCTTCAGTTCAAGATCCTCTTGCCTCAGCCTCCTGAGTGCTGAATTTATAACACAATGAAATTTGTTCATCATGAAATTATAATTTCTAAATGAAAATACATAAAATGGAGGGAAGATAGACTATGATAGTCAAATAATGGATGCCTGGATTCCTTTTCTTTTTGGACAGGGTTTCATGTCAGGCTGACCTCAAACTCACTATCTTATCAAAGATGATTCCAAGTCTCCTGACCCTTTTGCCTCCAATTTCCAAGTTCTGGGATGACAGGCAGGTACCACCATGCTTGCTTTATGGTTCTTTTAAAAATTTTTTATGTTTCCTTATATCTTTAAAAAGTTTATAAGTGAGCCGGGCATTGGTGGCACACGCCTTTAATCCCAGCACTTGGGAGGCAGAGGCAGGCAGATCTCTGTGAGTTCGAGGCCAGCCTGGTCTACAAGAGCTAGTTCCAGGACAGCCTCCAAAGCCACAGAGAAACCCTGTCTCGAAAAACCAAAAAAAAAAAAAAAAAAAGTTTATAAGTGCTTTGAGATGACTGAGTGGGTAAATCATTTGCCCCCAAGCCTGGTGGCCTGAGTTTGAGTCCCTGAACCCATATGGCTGAAGGAGGATTCATTCCCATTTGTCCTCAGACCTCTACACAGACAGGTGTCACAGGGTGTGTGTGTGTATCTGCACGTGCACGTGCATGCGCGCATACACATACACACTCACACACAGTCAAACACACTCTCACACACACTCACACACAGTCAAACACACTCTCACACACACTCACACACATACACACACACTCACACAAGTCACACACAGTCTCACACACACTCACATACAGTCACACACACACTTACACAGTCGCACACTCTCATACATGGTCACACACACAGTTACACACACTCTCACATACACACTCACACACAGTCTCACACACATATAGTCACACACATAGTCACACATACTCACACACAGTCTCACACACTCACACAAACTCTCACACACACTCACACATGCTCATACACAGTCACACACTTTCACACAGTCTCACACACACTCACACAAACTCTCACACATACTCACACAGTCTCACACACTCACACATACTCACATATGCTCACACACAGTCACACCCACTCACACACACTCTCACATACACACACAGTCACGCACACACACACTGACACAGTCACACACACTCACACATACTCTCACACATGCTCACACACACTCACACAGGTCTCACACACACTTACACACAGTCACACACACAGTCACACAAACTCACACAGTCTCTCTCTCACACACACACTCATATACTCTCACAGAAGTCACCCTTCAAACCCTAAGTTTCCCCCAGCCCTCTCAATGGATACAGCTCTCCACTGTAACCTTTTTATGGATGGCCCTCTAGGTCTTTCTTTTTCTAATCTCCTTCGCCAAACCACATTGGGCCCTTTTCCATTTCTTGAGATTCTTGAGCAGGACCTTTGCGCATGCCACCACCATTTCCTCAGACATCTATGTGATTTACAACTCTTTTTCCAGGAGTTCCTCTTTGCGTGCTGCTCTTCCTAGTCAAGCCCCACCCCACCCCCAGGCCCAAACATTCAAGAAATGTTTGGGTATGATAAGCACTGGGGATATCACAGTGAACAAACATGACCAAAAAAAATCTTACTTTGCTGAAACTTAGTTTCTAGTCATAATGCCAAAAATTATAAATAACAAGCAGACTAGAATAGATAATGGTGAAGTCAAATGTATCTTGTGAAATACTGACCAGGTATGTTCGTTGCTGCTGTCATCAAACATGTGTCTTCTATGTAATGCACTGTGCTAAATAAAAAGTGGTCATTTTTCCTGGCTTAGCTCAAGGACTATTGCAAAATTTTATTTCATGTTTGCTTTGTGAAGCCAGAAGCAGAATTACTTACTGGCATGTCAATTCAGATTTGGCATGTTTCTTGCTGTTTATGGGTGAAGCCAGTTAATATATTTCTTATGAAGTTAGATGAGACTGCTTTCTTGCAGTGAAATAGCCCTACTTTGTTCCTCACAAAAATGTATCAAGGTAGCAAGTTAATTTAATAGACCTTTCCTGAGTCTGCCTATTAGAAAGAAGTATGCAAAATTTAAAGTAACCAGGGCCTTGCTGTTACTTTCAAAGGACTTGATTTTTGTCATGTGGGTTAATTTTTTTTAAAATCATATTGCAGAGCACGAAACAAAATAGGTAATCCATATGCTGTTGGAATAGAAAAATGGGTTCCTCTTGAATCAACCCTTAGAAATATTTAAACACTGTGCACTTTATTAAATATGAGCATCCCATTCCAGTGTTCCCACCACCTAGCAAGAGATGCTGTTGTTTAAGCTATGGGGAAGAAAAGTTAGAGATAGTATTGCAGTTAAGGAACATGTTAAAGACTGGAAACATAAGGAAATGTTTGCATAATTAATCAGCTTTGTAAGTAGAATTGATTTCACCATTAGAAGCCTTTTGTTTTCAACACTATCTGTTCAAAAAAAGTATTACATTATTTTAGACTAATTTCTTAAAGTTATCTTTTATTTTCTGAAATTCTAATTACATATTTTCCCCCATTTCATGCTCCTTACTTAAAACCCTCCCACATATCCCTCCATGCTCCCTTTGAAATTCATGTCCTCTTTTTTCATTAATTGTTACATACATGCGCGTGCACACACACACACACACACACACACACACTCCTAAATACATGAATACAGCCTACTCAGTCTGTATAATGTTACATTAAATATGTTTTCAGAGCTGAACATTTGGCATTAGATGATTGATTGGCCTGTTTTTCCTTGGGGAAGAGTATTTAGA